TATGTATGTATATATATACATATATATAATGTATACATATATACAAAGTGATACACGATACTTTAAAGTATTAAATAACATATAATAATTCGCGTAATCTGCTTTTTTAGCTGTACAGAACAAAATTGAAAATGAAACGAATATCTGACGAGTCAAAGAACACGTGCTAGAAATAATTAATTGAGAAGGATTAAGTATAATTTCTTCATTTAGTCGAATTAAGTAGGTGCACTTATATTATATATTAAATGTACATACAATCGAATATGCAGTCCTGCCGCATTTAAGTCTTTCGTAAAATGGCACTATCGCGTAAGCTTCTTCATCTAGGGACTCAATCTTCTCGAGAAATGAGAGAACTATATACATATATTAAATTACAAATATATTTTCTATGCGACATTATAGAGGTTGCACTCGTTGCAATCGCAACGTCCTGTTGCTCTAATTATGCGTTACACCAATGTTATTTTATGCAAATGAAAAAGTTTAACGAAAGTAAGGAAGAAATCAAATAATCATTATTTTACAAATGAAGAACTGAGAATAACTACAGCTAATGTTAATTGAATCCTAATTTTATTGAAATTCTTTACTAATTGTACGTTTGATATAACTGTCCATAATTGTTTTTAATGAAATTTGTCTCCGGTATTTCTTTTCACATTTATAAATTTAATATTACATTTAACCCCAGATCCACACACAACTCACGGTTAACTCTTAGCCGAGGTTCAACTTATTATTCATTGTCTCTTTCCAATTCTAGAATTGGAAAGATATGAGAAACAAGTTGAACCTCGGTTAAGAGTTAGACGTGAGTTGTGGAACTGGGTCTTACAATGAATCAATAAACCAAAAGCGATATGTTCTCATATATTTCAAATTCTTACTACTATTACATTTCTGTAATAAAAAAATCCTCAAGCGGTTTCAGTCTTATAAAAAGAAAAATCGACTCGAAAAATTATAACATGAAAATTAACATTACACGATATATACAAGAGAAAAATGTTGAAACTTTGAACACTGAAACGAGAAAAATCGTATATAATGTTAAAAACAATCAAAACTCAGTTAATTGTATTATAATTAACACATTAATTTGTAACATAATATATACAATATCATATGAATTAAAAATATTCCTAATTACGAGAATAATTAATAGTAATTTCTATTAATTTTATGCACACACACACACACACACACACACACACACACACACAAAATTGAAAAAATTATTTATATCAAACTGTTAACAGGTTATAATTGAATGAATTATGTTTTAAAAATCTAATTAATAAGCATTTTTCAATCGCAAAAAGATATTTAAATTTTCTGAATATAGAATTTAATGAAGAATAATTTCTTAAATATTTATATTATTTATAAGTCTGATTAGAAACAATATAGATTAAAATTATTACAGTTTCTTCCAAAATTATAAAAAATAAAAATTATTGACATAATTAAATTTATAAAGTATACTAAAAGTGTGAGTATGGAAATTGTTTCTTATTGAATAGTGAAAAACATATCAATATAAAGAAGTGTTGTGTTTAAAAACGAATGTGCAGCGTAACATTATGTGGCGAGTATTAATATTTACTAAAATTATGTGAGATTAATATCTTCATCCAATCACTTCTTTTTTTATTCACCGGATATGTATTAAAAGCAGCCCGCGCGGATGCTGCTTAGATAAAAGTCAATTAACTGGAACTACTACAGAATATTTTCTTCTTAAGTGTATCGTCTGTAATAAATGTTTAATGTAAATTAATGTAAAATTATACGTGTAAGAAAGTAACAGAATAAGACCGAAATTTTTTATCGTAATTTTATAAATGTAACATTGAGTACAGCATGATCGATTAATGGCAATTGTAAGAAAAAAATAAGATATATTAAAAGTATGTGAGATGCGTTTAAATAGAAAGTTTTGCTAAACTATTTAATACATCAAACCATGTATTTTTTACAATATTATTTTAAGTCTACAATTACTTATTTTATTTCTCAATGGATTGCAAATATAAACTTTGAGACCACATGCTTAAAATTTGTATATATTTTAAGATATATTTAATGCTTATATGTAATATAAAAAAATTAAATTTAAAAAATGAATATACTCATTTATAATGTAATCGTCTTATTAAATCTTTATACTAATCTATATAATTTTACTTTACGTATTTAATTCCATTAATCTTTTAACAGCAAGTATATCTTAGAATTGCTATAAAAATCGATTATTTTCAAAGCGTTCTTGAAGGCCAAAGCATTCAAGCGAATTATTCTAAACAATCTCATCAGGGCAAAGTATTATTATTAAGAACATTTCTAAGAGAAGGGTGCCTAAAAAACCGAAACACTGCTGGAAAGTATGTGAAATGACATCGTAAACTATATAAAGTATACGAGATAAATTTTACCCTTGTTAGAAAGAGAATATGCATTATATTTAAATGTATATAATATAAAATTCTGCTCACATATTTAAAATAAAAGTACGTGTAATATATAAACTATACGTTCTTCTTATTATTATTAACTTCATCATTAAATTTGATTAAATTAAAAAAATATTGCGTACTTTAAATATAGCGATAGATTTTTTTATCTAATTTTACACATTTGTATATTTAATAATTTTAGAAAATATTAATATTTTTTTCAAAAAAATGTGAAGAAAATAAGTTTTAAAGAATAATGGAAAAATATTTTAAAGAAAATCACTTACATTTACTAGAAAAATCAAAACAAAGATAAAGATATATATTTTTATTGTCAAATTTTATTAACAAATAGCCATGATGAAGTATTGATTTAAGGTATCGATATTAATTAGAAAAATTAGTAAAATTAAAACTGTAATTTGCTAACAAATATCAACAATCAAGCTATATCGAATCATTGAATTTTTAAGGAATAAATATAAAAAGATTGATAATTTTTTTTCTTCATTAATGAACTAATAAATTGTTATCTAGTTTACATATATAATAACTGATAAATAGTCAATATGTTATCCTTCGAATTCAAAATTTTTAACATACATTTTTAATACAGTAACATTCTAAATTTATTACAAATATTAAAAGTTATTACATTAAACAAAAATTATGTTTAAATAAATATTTAGTGTTTTTTATCAATCGAAGTCAAAAACTCAATAGATCTGTATGTGTCTTGAACTCTTCTTGAATTCTTTTTTCAATTCCTGGTAATATTATATTATTTGGAGTTATATTAAAACTAATATATATTGCTTTTCCAAACTTCATGCTTAATCTCTTAGCCATATTTGTGGATGTAGCATTTGCTATAGAACCCATGATTTTGGTTGCAATAGGTTGTTTCTCGAAACTTGATGTAAGAGCAAAAGACAAGTCTTCCATACTGCCATTATTGGAATCTCCAATCCACAGATACAAAGAATCTTCCATCCTTATTATTTGGCAATTAATATTAGTATCACCGACTTTGGCAACAAAATTATGAAATTTGAAGCTGCATGGTAGTAATTCTATTTCAGATTTTTTCTCTGCTGTATTTGCCATCATTTATACATATACTTTGGTTCCCTCTCTCTTACCTATAATAATATAATTTTAAAATATCAAAAAAATTAAAAAGTACAAAAAACAAAAAGCACAAGAATACACTTAGAATAATGGTAATTATACAGAATAGGTAATTATCCAGAAGACACTCCTCAATTTCACTGAAATTATGCTCATTCAATGCATTTTTGTAAAACGAAAGAATCTGGCAGAAAATATGCTCAGCCCTGTGAAGTGAGATATTAATCGTTAAAGTAATTTTTTTAATTGTTAAAATTAACTATTATTAGATTAGAAAATCTGTTGCATCGACAACATAAAGAGACATGAGAAAAAGTATTTTCTGGTTCAATTATATATACACAAATTCTCTGCTATAAAAACACAAATTATTTTAATATACAATAACAATATTGTTAATATCAATATACACTATGTAATTTAACAGTTATTAATTTACAATGTATTATTTATATATTTCATAATTTCAAATATCCATTTCATCGCTTCAATTAACAAAACAATGTTTTATTACAAATACCATTTTATACACGACAAATGTCAAGACTCAAAACATTTATTCAGTTATTGATACCATCATGGATATATCACTTTTGATTATATAGAACAAGCAAATTCATGAATAAAAGATGGTAAAAATTTTTATATATTTGTATTTTTATTATTTACCTATGGACTATGTATTTTTATAGTTTTTTATTTTATTATGTTTTACTGGATTATTAAAACCTATTCTACAATGTACTCTTTATTTCCTGTTTCTTGTTTTTTACCTTTTGCTTTTTTCTCCTTTGCAACTGTTTTATCAACAATTGTATTTTTTGCTACGTATTTCTTGTGTTTTTCGAAGTTTGTTAATTTTTATCTCGCAATATAAAACAAAAATCTGAATAAGAAGCGAAAAAACAAGATATAAAAAATAACAAAAAACAAGAAACAAAAAGAACATTGTAGAACAGGCTTAAGTTATACATCAGCTATATTCGCATTAACATTGATAATGAGTGCCGAAACATCTGTTTAGTTTATAATACTTATGCATATAATTTAAATATTAAATCATTTATTTGGCTCATAGCCCTTATATTTATTATTGCGAACAAATAATTTTCTACAAAATTTTTGTTTTTACAATAGAGAATTTGTTTTTAAAGCAAAGAATTTTTATTTTAAAGCAAAGATTTTAGATTGTGTGTGTGTATATGTTTATAATATTATTACTTACATAATATCCTGAATGGTTCTTAGCTCTATATTATGTTTAATTTAAAGCAGAGAATTTGTGTTCTTAAAGCAGAGAATTTGTGTAATTGAAGCAGAAAAGGTAATTATACAGTTTAGCACAATCACCTCAAAAATCAATAAAATAACGCTTATTCGACGCGTTTTTGCATGAAATGAAAGAATCTGGCAAAAAAAAACGTCGCTCTGTCCTATAAGCAGAGATATTGAGCGTTAAAGTTAACAACTATTGAGGTTAGGAAATCTGTCATGTGGATAGTGGGATGTATAGACAGTAGTACTTATTGGTTCTATACCGCCTCGAACAAAAAATAAATAACATATCCTACCCTTTGAGGCCTAACTGCCTAGAAATTGTAGCCTAGACCTAGAAAAAAAACCACTCTAAAAAGATTGTTCGCATCTCCCAGTCTTCACTTAGGTTAGAAATATTCCAAGCGGACCGCCAGTGATGAAAGGTGACAAGAATTCCTCTGCTCTAGTAAACTTTGTGCGCATGCGTAAATTGACGTGCAGCTTGATCCAATGATGGAACATACGGAGCAATACGGAATACGGATGCTTCTGGGGCTCCTGTACATCTGAGTGACTAACCATCTCAAATTAGAAGGGACAATCTCAAATTTTAACACTTTGTCCCGCTGTACAACCCGTTCTAAATTTTTTCCTAAATTAAGGTTATAGTAATGAATTATTTCTTTTTTAACCTCTTAGGTACTGTACGTCATTATAGTGACTTTCTCGAATGCTATTTCTTCAAACGATGTTGGTATTCATATATAAATCGGCTGCGTAATAAAAGACAAAATTTTTTATTATTTATGAACACACTATGTATCTTTAATAAAAACCTTCCTTTTCTCCCTACAACTTTCTTAATATCGTTATTAGGGGTCTTATAATACCATGAAATATGTACGTCAGTTAAGACTGCTCAGCTTTACGCATGTGCATAAGGTTTCCTAGAGCAGACGAATTCTTGTCATCTCCCATCACCGCAAGCGGACACTGGGTGCTCAGTACTATAACCACTCACTGAGCGCTCAATGAGCTCTTGCATCTAATTGGCATATTCCGTTAGAATTAACAATATAGACCAAACAGATACAAGAGCTCACTGAACGCTCAATGAACGGTCGTGCTTCTGGATGCATCTAATGCTACTGTAAGACAGCGACACGATCACGTGTATAACTTTTGAAATCGGAATATTCCAAAAGGGTAGGAATATTATCAGGATTAATCCAGAGGTGAGATAATCTAGGAAACTTTTTGGAAGGAAAGGGCTATTATTCACTAGTTGTGATATACGATATTCACTATGTGTATTCACATTTTATTCACTCTTGTAACGAACTATATTCTGTACAAAGGAATCGCTCAGGATCTTGCTCCTTCTGCCCCACTATCGCAACCAATCCCGAAAGGGTATTATCGACAGGCCAATCGAGAGGCATGGCCAATCGTGTGCGGTAATGGCGGATGATCGGAGCGCCGCCAGCGGTGAGGCGCAAAAACTAAACTTATGATCTATAATCGAAGGAGCTATCTTACACTACTGTCTAGGCTACAACTTCTTGGCGGTTAGACTAGTCAAGCGAGTAGAATGTGGTATTTTTATTTTGTTCGAAACGGCGTAACCGCTTTGAACCAATAAGCATTAGTTTATACACCTCATTGTCTACATGACAGGTTTTCTAACTTTAAGAATAGCTAGTTTCCACCGGTTTCCGAGGGTTTTAACCGGATTAAAATATAAGAACCAATCAACTATAGTCGAGTATTCTCCTGTCGTTTAACTGTAACAGGAGAATACTTGACTGTAGTTGGTTAGTTCTTACATTCTGCAGATCAATTCTGTATCTTGAAACGAGGTGAAAATTACAGAAGTGAGCAAATTTACTAGGCGTTGACCAAGGAAATTATCAGTATTCTAGTAAATTTGTTACCTTTTATAATTTTCACTTCGTTTTAAGATACAGAATCGATCCCCTGATCCGGATTAAACTCTTGGTGGAAACTAGGCCAATAACAGTACAATTTTAGAAGTGCGTCCCTTTACAAAGGGGAAGGGGAGGAGGGTGAAAGTGGCTTCGCGATTGACTAAAAAGTCGAAATTCATGTAGAATAGTATAATAGACCTCATTTTGCCTCTGTGACAGATTTCCTAATCTCAATAGTCATCAACTTTAACGCTTAATATCTTGGTTCACGGGGCAGAGCGAATTTTTTTCTGATTCATTTCATTTAGATTCTTTTGTTTTTTGCAAAAACGCGACAAACAAGCCTAACTTTATTTACTTTTAAGCTGCGGCACCTATTCTGTATAATTACCTTGAAAAATTATATTTCATTTTAATAAGCAAATTATTAACATAAAGTTATAGTAATGTTTAAATTAAATTCATCTTGGATGCATCTTTCACGCACCATGTGAACATAGTACACAAAACTTGCGTAATGAAAAAGTACGGAATAGCACTGATTGGTTACTTCAATGACGTATTCTTTATTTCGCGGCCTTTTTTTACACTGTGATTTTATTCTAAGGGTGCAAACCCACAGTGGAATAACGTAATTTCGGATCTATAATGGATATTTTCTATTTGATGACACAAATCAATACAAGTGTCATTCTTTGTCACTCTCTGAATGTCAACAAAGATAGAACAATATTTGTATTGACTTGTGTCATCAAATAGAAAGCACCTAATAGATTTCTAAGTCTTAAGAAATGGACAAATCATAGTCGATTATTCTTCTCGAATATTCTGTAATGTTGGTCAATTTCTTACTTCTTAAGGCTTAAAACACCTATTGTAGATGTATATGTGCTATATGAAGCACAATTATATGAATTAAATATCGATTTATTGTATATCTCCAGCCTTGAAAAATGGACCCTAAGAAAAGTGGACGTTGCTATGTAGTTTACATGCACTTTGTCAGAGGACAGTAGTGCTCAGCAGCATTTTGCGGTTACAGGTTTTGAGCTGTTATGTTCTCTCTCAGGTTTCTCTCTGTGATGCACTTTCTAGTTTGCATGCCACATGTATCTTAAGAATAGCTATCAAACGTTAAACAAAAGGAAGGAGAAATATGTCAATTAGATAAGTCAAGATTAACTTTTCGAACATTCTATAAATATGAAAATCCACACGCTTCCTTCTCGGCGATCGCGAACGGAATCGATGTAGTAGAGTATGAGCATAGAGTATAGAGAATAGGAGGTCGAACTTTAGGCTTTAAAAGTGTGGTCGAAATCAAGTTTCTGAATTGATATTGGTGGTGCACTGTAGGCGGCGTTCGAATCGCAAAACTCCTCGCAAAACTATACGTTTACGCACACACAACCGAACACATACAACTTAAGAATAGAAACGTTATTCTTTGATATCTTTTGCTCTAACAGGAAGACGTAAATTGTCATTAAAACTGTATGAAGAATGGATATTTTTTATGTAAAATTGATATAATCTACTGATACTAGAATTGATATGCAAACTGCGAGAATGATATGATGGACAAAAGCGACATCTTGATGGAACTAATTCAGATAACCACTTTTGCCTACGCTTTTTGACGATCTTGTCGATGCAAAGACTTAAACACAATAGGCACAGGCAACAGTAAATAACGAGCCATTCAATCAGTGCTCTGGTGTATAAGTTCGATATTATATCCCAGAGTTCTGATTGGATAGCTTGTTATTCCATTTCTTGTGCCTATTGTGTTTAAACCTTAAGTTCGGCCTATTCTCTATACTGCATGAGTATGAGGTTAGGTGTCAGATTATTATGCCCTCTAGTGTTACGTATCTAAATTGTCTCAATTTCATTAGAGCTTTTCAAAAATGAATAAGTGGAATCACCTATTATTCTTACACCGTGATCCATATCGGCAACGGTCGATTTGGACGCTCACGCGCTTTAAGCGCTTGTAATTATCATTCTGTCTTTATCATTCATTAGACGTAAAATAGGAATAGAAGTATTGAAAAGCGCTGAAGGAGTCCAAATTGATCGCCACCCTGCAGGTGCTTTTTCATGCTAACGTTCAACGCTCATTTTTAGGAGTGGTTTAATTGCCCACTAGCGATTGTCTACTGCCAGTTACAGCGACTTCTACCTAGGGAATTTTTTATTTTTTCTTCTAGCGCTATAATTGACTCGTGTGCAATTGCAAACTTCTCACTTTCAGTATTAAAATAGATCACGTGATCAAAATTGGTGCTTGAAAACTAATGAAATACTATAGTATATGTAACGCATACTATAATATTTCTCTAGTTTTTCGTATGCGATACTTTTCAAGAATAGGGATCCTGAACATAGCTCTATGAGTGCTTTCCATTTGATGACACAAGTCGACACAAATGTCATTCTATCTTTGTAGAACAGAAAAAGAAAGAAGTAAGATAGGAATTTAGATGGCGTTACTGAGCAACTTATTCATTTCGCGCATGCGCATTCCATTTTGGCCAACAAAATCAGGAGAATTGCGCTACTGTATATATTGTGACGGAAGCTGTGCTTCGGTTCTCTTACTCTCTCTCTCTCTCTCTTTAGCGTCTTTCTCTGATTGTGTTCTGCACGTGTAGATGTCAAATAGATTATTTTAATTGGTTAAAAAAAATATGAAAGTAAAGAAAGAAGACGCGACGTTCAAGGAATTGGTCTTGAGGAAAAATGTCAAGAACAAACAGAATATATCGAAGCCAAAAGCAGGTGCCAGTCTCGAGAAAGCTGTGAAAAATGTCAAACAAATTTTTAAGGTATCGACATAACCTCCATAAAAACGTATTTATCATACGTTGCTTCATCTAAACAATTTTTAGAAGTTCAACGAGACTGATCGTCACTGGCTTTTTTTGTTTATTAGAATTAGAATTTTTGATAACCAGATGTACCCTATATACACACATATATGTGTATATATATATATATATACACATACATACATACACACACACACACACACACACACACACACACACACACACATACACATACACATATATTCCTTAATACAAACCTTTGGATTATTTGTGCCCTGCGCATTTATTTTCTTTGAAATATAAGAGCATCTTTAAATACCAATCTCTTTTCTATTCGTAAAAAAAGTTTGACATCTAGAGAACAAGTTTTGTACGTACTGGCCTCAATTCACTCAATTCATGCGTATCTTTTAACTAGAATAACTTCAGAATTCACCTCTGAGTCTTAAATGACCAGTGTGTATAAAGTGTAACTAAAAAAAATTTTTTTTCTTTATTTTCAATTCTTATTTGTACTGTGGGAATATTTTGCGATAAAGTAAATTATAAGTTTTTTTTAACACAATAGCAATAATAAAGTGTATTGTTTAAAATATGAATGCAGTATATATTCACAATTTATAGTATTCATGCATATTAAAAAACATTTAGATTATTAAATACCTAAATTTTTTGGACAGTCAACATTTA